CTGCTCTCCACGCCCGCTCCCCACGCCCCACTCCAGATGGAGGAGCTGCTTCTCCCTGCTGTAGACTTAGAGCAGTGGTACCAGGAGCTGATGGCCGGGCTGGGGACCGGCCCCGCGGCGGCCTCCCCGCGCTCCTCTCCCCCGCCTCTGCCCGCCAAAGCTTCCCGGCAGCTGCAGGTAACCCCTCTCCCCCTGCCCGCCCCTCCCTGAGCCCTGCTCCTCTCTGCTCTGGGTACCTCCTGCTGGTCCAGCAGCCACACAGAGCCACCTTAGATGGGGGGGCGGGGGTGGCGGTCAGTCGAGTCAGGGCAGAAAGGGGCCTCTGGGCCCTGAGGTCTCCTCATGGGCAGCGTCCTGGCCCTTTGGGCAGCTGGAGGGCCAGCCTGTGATCCACGGATGGCATAGAGGATTGCTGGTCCAGGGGAAGGGCCTTCCAGAGGGGGGGTCAGGGTGGGGTGGGTCTGGTGCGTCCTGCTTCGGCAGACCATGGCTCTGCTCTGTCCCCTGCAGCGCTCAGGCCTGGAGTCTCTCCCTCTGTTGGGGGGGCGGGGGGCGGGCGGGGCTGGGCTGATGCTGTCTTGGGCCTCTTGCAGCTTGAACTAGTGTGGCCGGCATTTTGCTCTCCGGGTCTCCCCAGGGGTGACACTCGGGGGCAGTACTGGTGGGACAGACTTTGAAGTAACAGCTATGAGGACGTGCCCAGGCCTCCTCAGCGTTTCCGTGGAGGGTACAGGTGACCTCAGCCTGTAGCCAGCTGCTAACTGTGGCATGGGGAAAGGGGTCAGGGTGTGCTCCACTGACCTGTGGCTGTGCCCAGGACCCCAGCGCTCAAGATTCCCTCCTGGGGTGCAGGCACCGCACCTCTACGTTTGTGTCTCAGCTCTAATTCCATGTTCCCTTTGGGAGGAGTTCGATTCTTCTAGCACGTGAGGCAGCTCTATTTGTACGTGTTTCGATTCATGTGATCATCAGCAGTTCACTCACTGGGGCCCAGAAAAGATAAGTCATCTTCTCAAGGCCCCACGACTAGGAAGTAGCAGAGCCCATGCAAGGAGTCGGGGTTCTTGACTCCAGACCCCATATTCAGCAAACATGCGGGCTGGGAGGGAGCTTGACAGTTCCTTCGTCTAGCCCTGCTCCCTCCTTTTGCAGATCTAGGGCCCAGAGCTGGGAGGTACATGGCCCAAGGTCACACAGCCTGTTAGTGGCCCAGGCTGGACCAGAAGGAACCCCGGCCTCCCATTGGTCTCCCGCACAGTTCTGTCCAACTGATGTGATGTGAATGCCGCCTCACATGGGTCGATTTTCTGAGACCTTTTCTGAGATCTGGGACCAGGGATTGGTCCAGAGAGGAGCTGCCTGGAAGAGGCTTGGCGGCTGCCAGTAACACCTGTCCGTTGGGTTGGCCCAAGAAGCTCAGTGCTGTTGTTGGCCTGGTGCTGGGGTGGGACCTGGATCACAGTCAGCCTAGGTGACGTGGGGGTGCTGGCTGGTGGGGGGGCTGGAGCTCACCAGTCAGGATCTCTTCCCTCCAGGTTTACCGCTCCAAGATGGATGGTGAGGCCACGAGCCCCCTGCCCCGGACCCGCAGTGGCCCCCTCCCCTCTTCCTCTGGCTCTTCTTCCTCTTCCTCCCAGCTCAGCGTGGCTACCCTGGGCCGGAGCCCCTCCCCAAAGGTCTGATGACCATGGGCGGGCTGGGTGTGTCGCATGGCTGGGGTAGGGATGTGGAGGCTGTGCCACTGGGGAGGGGTCAGAGCCGCCCAGGACAGCCTTGGGAGGGGGGTCTTCTGAGCCCCAGGTCCCAGTGCTCCATTCCCCCCGCAGAGTGCTCTACTCGCCCAGAACGGGACAGGTAGCCTCCCTCGCAACCTGGCGGCCACGCTGCAGGACATCGAGACCAAGCGCCAGCTGGCCCTGCAGCAGAAGGGTGAGTGGCTGCGGGCCTGCCCCCCCCCGCTCTCCCCGGGGGGCCCTGGATATATGCCACACACACCCCCCCCCCGTGCCACACCTTTCGCAGGGTGTCTTTGCTTTAATGGAGTTCTAGGCAAGCACAGCAAGCATTTAGATTTAATATCTGAAGAGCTTCCTGGATATCTATCAAGAGACTAAGGGCTGGGGGCCGTGCGATCCTTCCCAGAGAGCTCAGCAAAGAAGGGAGATGCTTGTTGGTCTGAGCCGGGACGGACATTGCCCTGTCTGGAGGCAGGGGCTGCACCTGATGGCCTCCAGAGGTGGTTCCCTAAGATACTGGCTCTCGGGACCCAGGAGTCCTTGTTGCCTGTGTGCCTTTTGGTTGTTTTGAAAGCCCATGTCTGTGCGTCTTCCTCGTCTCATCCCCTCTGTGTCTCTCTACCCTACCCTCTGCCCGGGGCCCCCACACCAGGCGAGTCGCTTCCTGCCGAGCCCCCCCCAGCCGACAACCCAGCAGGTAGAGCGTTGGTCACTGGGGTCATTGCTTTGGTCAGGCAGCCCTGCCTGGGCATCTGCATGATGTATCCTGCGCAGGTCCTCGCTGCCGCCCCCCGCCCCAGCTGAGCTGGGATGGGCTGTCCCTTGGTCTTGCCCCTCGAGTCGGGCTGGCTCTGTCTCAGCAGTGCTCTGCCTTGTCTCCCCTTCCTCCCTGCTGGTGTTGCTCTTGCTTATGCATCACTGCTGGGGTTGCATGGACACCCTGCTCACGGACCCCCTCCCCCACCCCTTCCCCTCCCCAGCAGGCGGCGGGGGGTGGTGCATGCGCCCTGCCCTGCTCTTCAGGCCATGGTTGTGAGCTGGAGGCACCGCCGGGGCAGGGGCAGTGCCCTGTGGGGCTCAGGATGCAGAAGGAGCGCTGCAGCCGGACGATGTGGCCGTGGCCGGTCGTGCAGGCGACCCGAGTGCTGGCAGGGCAGCCGGACCTGGGGCTGGGGGGAGGGAGGGCCGAGGGTTGGGCCCTGTGCTGACCTCTCCCTGCTCCCCTCTTCCCTCTGTGATGCCAGTGTCCCCCAGAGGGCCCGCCGTGACTCTGCCCCCGCCCCTCCCGCAGGGCAGCAGGTGATTGAGGAGCAGCGGCGGCGCCTGGCTGAGCTGAAGCAGAAGGCTGCCGCCGAGGCGCAGTGCCAGTGGGATGCCCTGCACGGGGCGGCCCCCTTCCCGCCGGGCCCCTCCGGCTTCCCCCCACTCATGCACCACTCCATCCTGCACCACCTGCCGGCCGGCCGGGAGCGCGGGGAGGACAGCGAGCACGCCTACGACACGCTGAGCCTGGAGAGCTCGGACAGCATGGAGACCAGCATCTCCACAGGCGGCAACTCGGCCTGCTCGCCCGACAACATGTCTAGGTACCCTCCCCGGGGGTCCGGCCCTGCCTCTGCCAGCCGCCTCCCGGCCCCCTGATGCCCCCCCCCCCGGCTCTCCCCCTCCCCCAGCGCCAGTGGCCTGGACGTGGGCAAGATCGAGGAGATGGAGAAGATGCTGAAAGAAGCGCACGCGGAGAAGAGCCGGCTCATGGAGTCCAGGGTGAGGCAGGCCGGTGGCGGCTGCAGCCCCTCCGCCCCCAGGCTCCTCCAGACCTTCCCTCGGGGAAGAAAGGGTTTTAAAGTCAGCGTTCCTCAAGTGGAGGAGGCCTGGCCACATGGCAGGTGTCATGGCAGCTCTTAGGACAAGAGGCGGCAGCACAGTAAGCGCTGTCCACCGTGAATCTGCCCAGCAGCGCCTTGCGGCCTTTGTGTGTTGGCCTCTGTGGGTGTTGTGGCCGCCACGGGAACTAGGATTCTGGTCTCCCCGGCGGCAGATCCTTCCTCTTTGGGGATGGCAAGGAAAGGCGGGAACGGGGGCCCAAGGGGTAGGACTAGAAGAGCAGGCGGGTGTCCAGGCCAGAGCAGGGGTGTCAGCGGAGGGGACACGGGGGGTGCTGGGGGCTGAGGAGCCCGTGCCTGGGGAGGGGGTGGGGGGGTCTGCGTCCACCGTCCGGGCGCTCTGCGTCTCTGGAGGTGAGAGTGGGATTTGGGGGGTGGGAGGCAGCCGCTAGGCCAGCCAGAAAAGAAGGCCTCGTCGTACTCCCATCGACGGAGGGCACGTTTACAAGGAGCTCTTGGCAAACAGAGAGAGAGGAGACCCTGCTCAGTTTTGAGCTGGGAAGAAATGGCAAACAGGAGCTCACGGTGTGAAGGTCGTTACTGTTGATGAGGACATAAAACGTCACTGACGTGCTTTGTGTTTGATGATTTGGTTTAAGGACTTTTAGACTCTTAAGAATGGCTTCTGTAAGTTCATTTTTTCCCCATAAAATTTGAAGTTCGACTACGCATGTTTGTTACTTGGCTTCAAAGGACCTTAGTGATGATTAGGGAAGGACTACCTGAAAATATTCAGTATCAGGAAAAGTCCCTTAGGTGACGTGTGTGGTAGGAATTCGGGTAAGAAGTGTAAGAGCCCCGTTTATTCGGTGCTTCGGTCCTGCCGGCATCCGTGATGGGCCGTTTATATACGAGACCTCGGGTAAGTTTCCCTATGATCCCTGAAGGGAGGCACCCTCGGCCCCATTTTACAGATGAGACGGTGGAGGCCGAGGGGGTTTGAATGATGTTGTCAGGCTCACAGAGCTCATCCGGCAGAGCCCGGATCCGAGCACTTGAAAGTGTTTAACCCGACCGGCAAGGTGCTTGCAGAGGGTGGGTTTTGGGGGTGATGCTCCCTGGTGCCAGGCCGCCCTCTGAGGTGGGTGCCTCCCACAGCTCTGCCCCAGCCTGAGGAGGGGCGGCAGGGGGAAGGGGCAGCAGAGGGCAAAGCCGTGGGTGCCGACCGCTGGCTTTGGGGGCAGGAGCGGGAGATGGAGCTCCGGCGGCAGGCCCTGGAGGAGGAACGGAGGAGGCGCGAGCAGGTAGAGCGGAGGCTGCAGAGCGAGAGCGCCAGGAGGCAGCAGCTGGTGGAGAAGGAGGTCAAGATGCGGGAGAAACAGTTTTCCCAGGTGAGTGGGCGCTGGGCTTGAGGGTGGGCCTGGGGAGGGCTGGGGATACCCCGGGCTAGCCCTGGGGGCTGTAAAGCCTCTTCTCCCGAAAAGACTGCTGTTGGCTCAGTACAAGCAGAATTCTGTTTGGGACTCGTTCAGCCCCCAGGAACAGAGATCCGGGCGCGTGCGCGCGCGCGCGCGTGTATGTGTGTGTGTGTGGTGTGTGGTCTGTGTGTGGGGGTGTGTGTGTGTGGTGTG